AGATTGAGCGGCAAGCATAAATACAAATTTCTCCTATATCTTCCGAAAGTTGTACATACATACAGATGAAAACCTTTGCTGTAGACCGAAGGTATTTGCTGTAGGAATATGCCTGGGAATCATCTTGCTCCCCGGGAGGAAGTATTAACTAAAAAAGTTTGGAAAAGTTGGAAACTAAGAAAAGAGATTTAGGAAGTTCACGAGTAATCACGCGTGGGAACTTTTTTACACGTGGTAACCTGTGAGGATTGATTCGACAACTATGAATATGAGATTTATTCAGTAGTTTCTCAGGCAAGTTAGCTCAATAGTAGTATCGTAGATTTCTAATTCAAAGTATCCTGGTTCGACTGTTACTTTGCGGTGATATATATAAAATGTGATATTTTAGAAACTAGTGGTCACACGTGCAAAAAGTTATAGATGAAGTTGCATTGACGAAGTCTACATTATACCTTGACCATGGTGACCATGTATAGTCAGTTGACTATAGATGGTCGGCATGGCCAAGATTTTTTCACACGTAATCACGCGTGAAGATTGTTCACTTGTGTACACGTGTGAAGATTTTTCACGCGTAGCCACGCGTGTGATGCTGCAACAACACGACCAAACTGTCGTGAAACTTGCTGTTTTTACCTACAAAATTTCGTGAAAGTCTAAGCTGACATTTCACGGTCCCTCACGCGTGAAAAGTCGATCAAATTTCCCCATGGGCTGTGTACTAACACCAAAACCTTTTTTACTAAAACGCAACACTCTTCTCAAGAGCTGAAGTTTTAATTGTGATCGGAATGTAAATTCGTTGTAAGTGTTTGACAATATTATTGTGTAGTAATAGCAATAATAAGTCAAAATAACAATGTAGACATGAAAAAATTGTATTTTGTAACTTTTTTTCTCATATTCCGTTTACTTGTACGAATAGGTATCGAAATATTCACTTAGTATGCAAGACAGCGTGGCCGAGTGGTTATGGCGCTGCGTTCAGGTCGCAGTGTACTTTCGTACGCGTGGGTTCGAATCCCACCGTTGTCAAATTTTTTCTTTCTCATTTTCATTCCGAATTATGTACCTCTTCTATTGAAATAAGAGAATAACTGCTGGATATTTTTTCAATTAACAGAATTCTCGGTAACGCGTCGCTTAAGCTTGATCATCACACGTTCAAAAGCGTTAAACTTATAAGTTATCGAGTACTGAACTTTTGAAAATCAAAAGTAACGATTACCATCTCATTCATAGTGTGTTCGCTTATTGGTATTTATAAACTAATGCATTTTATAAGACACGTCAAATTTAATATAGTTTATTTAGTTCAATAAAGATTCTTATTCTTTCTTACACACAACTAATATCAGTTTTCTCTCAATCTGTAATGAACAGGGAACGGATCGTCAACCAGTACAGCATACCGGTAAATTTGCAGTTAGTCACAAAGTCTGGCCTCACAAATTTCTGCCATCATATTGTTCAGGATTCGGAGTTGTCATGTCATCCACTGTTCGTAATCGTCTCTATCGCGCATCCCTGTTCTATGAAACCGAATCTGTAGTATGGGTTGGTGACGTGTTTGTATCGGGATTTCTAGGTAGAACAGCTCGAGTTCAATGCAGGAACTTAGGACTCGATTACGAACAAACAGCAAGTGGAAACTGTTCGTGCCTGATGAAACAAAATCCAATGTTGACCATATGTTCAACGATGATCCATTCGGGAATAGAAAACTATAATGAATATGAAGCAACCTGGAAAGTTATTTTACAGCGACATCAGAGCGGGAAGACAAATGAAACGGAGGATGCGAGCACGAATGTATGTGACTACGAGATTTCTCGAATATAAACATTGTAAAATCAGGGTTTGTATAAATCATCACTTTGACGATCTAACAGTTCACAGTTGCGTAAATAGGAGAAGCTATTGCTAATTTAACGTCCCAAAACCAGCAGACATTTTTTCATGGGAATACGAAAGGTAAAATATTTTGAAGGATACTTTATTAACATCAGTCACAGAATACGCTCAAAATACCTACTGGAACAACTGAGACTCTTGGTTAATCGAATCTGATAGTAAAACCTTTGATGATAAGAAATGGACGTCCAAATATTGGATAGAACGTACCACAAAAATTTCTGAGTATTTTTAGTTTGGGTTCTTGTACTCGTACAATAGCAGCATTCTAGTGCCTTTCTATCAGATTTAACAGAAAGCCACCATTATGGCAAATGCTTTTCTTTTTTTCTTATTTATTTCAATTTATTCAAACGACAACAAACGACAAAAGAAGATTTGTCCTTTTTCTCTCATTCATAAACGGAAAACCAGCAAAACGACAACATATTTCTTTTGTATATTTTTTGTTGTTTGTATTTGTTTTCTAACTTCTTGCAACTGGAATTGTGGCCGGTTGTTGTGCCGCTTGATTTCCACCTCGTTGCCCTCCTTGGCCCATCATTTGTCCTCCGCCACCACCACCGCCCATATTTGGTTTAATACCGGTTGGACGTAATAACGGCTGACGTATTTTTCGCGCTTCTTTTGAACGATTTCGGACGACTTTGCTGTGAATAGCACACGATACACAATAATGCAATTTATAATATAATTTTGGCAATATATATTTTTGATAAACACTTGCTTCACCAATATCTTTAACAGCTGCTTGTTCGACAATATTTCGAATAATTAATTTTTTTATTGCTTTATCTTTAGGTACTAAACGACGGCAATTTGTACAATTGACGGGGCGAACACCTAAAACAAATAATATTATCAGATTATCCTCGATACTGGTTCAAAATGTGTAAGCCAGTTCTATCATTATACACAAAAACAAGTGAAAAAAAAAATCTTTGCCCTAACTTCCATCTAATGGAAAGGAAACTCGCAACTTTCCGACAAATGAAGTTGTATATTGATGAAAAGATTCAATCAGTCCATCGGTTGTCCAAAACAGCGATCAGATAAGTAAAGAAAAAACAGAAGAAAATGTAGTATTTACTTACGTCCGCGTCCATGTTTGCTACGACCATTATTACGTCGTTTTTTTGTCATTTCTGAAGATGTCTAACTTTTGTATATAGAATGATGAAAAACGAGATCAAATCTAAAAACAGTTTCAGTTAAAGCTAACAAGATCCAAAAGATAATCACAACCTCTCTTTTCATGTAATTTTTCAATTCATAGATCTTATGTATGAATGTTCAAGTATCTTCAAAAGCGCTTATTAAATAATTTAGTCGCTCTTCAATCTAATAGGAAATGGAAATGAGAAAACGTACTTCCGTTATGAGCTCATCAGCAAATGTATAAAATTGAGACGAATTGTTCTCAGTCATCTTTTAAAATTGCAGAAGATCAGCTTATCTTCGGATAACTATATAAAGATCTACAGTTGTAGAAATACACGAAATAATGAGGATTTAAAAAGATAGACACGCTCCTACTGGAAAAGAAACATAAGGTATTGACAAAAATCCATTTGAAAAGCAAACAGAAATAGGAAAGGGCATAAACGAGAATCTACGCGAAAATAAAGAAGTGAGACTGATGTTGTTTCATTTTATTCAAAAATAGTTGAAGAAAATATTACGAAAACAAAATTAGTTCGATGATCGACTTTGAAATATTTAACAAAGCAGAAATTAACCAAAATTCTAAATTCATATAAAAATATATTGTACAAATGAAAAGCAGAAAGAATTATTATAATCCTTGTTCAACATTATCAAAATAAATAACAATAGAGTCACACTTTAATCGATGAATATGGTCCATGTTTAGATTTAACTAGCCAGATACTATCAACAACTTTTCCGTCCTGTAAAAAAGAGATATAGTAGTTTTGATCTATGGCCGATAATTAAACGAACAAACAAAAGCATTCAGAAAATAGCTTGGATATTGATAAAGCGTATTATAGATCTGCCATTTACCTGATCATCAGACACTTGTTCGAGATAAAGATGTGAAGTATTGTAAACATTCAGCCGTGTATAACCATAATCACTGTTTCGATACGCGGTCCAGTTTCGAGGAGGACCAAATGCATCATGACGTTCAGAACAACCCTGGAAAGAAGCAGTCATTGTTTAAATAACAATTTGTAACACAAATGATAAAAGTAAAATACGTACGGCTGAACCAGTTATGATGTGAACCGGAGCGCCCGGATCAATATAAGCACCATCTGTACCATTGTAAATCTAACGAGAAGATGAAATGTTTCAAAAGAAAAAGTTTATCCAACACAACCGTTACCTTGTGATCATACACTGGCCACAGCCTTTCGTAACTATGTTCATGAGCCCACAATTCTAAATCAACACTAAAATTAAGTAATTACATTTTTCGCATTATTTTCGATCTCTCGTTGTTCCCATCATTTACCCGTATTGAAAAAATAGATCTTCAAGACCATATGCATGAATAAGCGGGAGTCCTTTTCTAACCTAAAACATATAAAATTAGAATATATATTCGCCAAATAATAATTTTTAGGACATAGACTATCGTGCATTCTTACTCACTCGGCTCGAATAATGAGTACAATCATCACCATCATTATTACTACAATACATTGGCCTATGCCCCATTGTTACTAGCCATGGGGTTTGCTCACGGTTTACTTTCTATAAGCAGATATAAAAACATACATGAATATAGCCTATATTATTCCAACATTCATTATTGTCGTTATTCGATCACCGCATTGGTTTGTAATCTTTAATAAAAACACATAGTCTTTTTAAATGATTCTCGGGTTTATTTGCTTATTGCACACAAGGTCAGTGGTTTCCTTTTTTCTACTGTAGTTTAACCTGAGTAAGTCTTATTACAAAAACAAACTACTGCTACTCTTACTTTCAAATCTTCTTCTAGCCAATGGTACTGTGTTTCTATTTGTTTAAAGCCATATTCTAAAAAATAATAAAACTCAGTCGATAAGCTGATCACATGCATTGAACCGATATTGAAGCTGAAAGAAAAATATTACACTTTGTTTAGTAATATTAAAAAAAAGCCTCCAAATACCTGTAAAAATGATTAGAATCACCACCGTAGCTATTATTTTCTCCGGGCATACTGAATTTTGCCACATATTGTGAAAAATTGCTAAAAAAATGCATACAACAGTTATTAAATATAAAAGAAACACATCCATGTATAATAGTCAAAACAGCGACGAATTGTTCGCGTGTGTCATTGAAACGATTGAATTTCAAATAATAACGCACATCCAATGTAACAATCTATCAGAAAGGGATCTTACTATGTGTATTCATGATTGCCAGGACATGTCATATAAGGGATATAGGTAGCAATTGATTGTATTTGGTTCATAAACTGATCACCGTAACGTGCATTATCGGAATTCATATCGTACGCCATATCACCTATAAATAAAAAATAGATAACTAGAATTATCGGGTTTTTCTTAGAATTTGTCTCAAGGTTATATTAACTCCAGTGAAGCATTTCAAACTGTATACTAAACTTTCAATTACCACTGCATACTAGCATCAAAACTTCTAACGCCAACAATGCCGTCAGTTTATTCATAATTCTAACACAAAAATACGAAAGAAACCAAGAAATATTGTAATTTCTCTTACCCACATGTAAAATTAAATCGAAATGGCCCGCTTGAGTTTCTTGCTGCAATCTTGGAAGTGAATGTGCATTTTCTTTTCCCATATCACCATATACCGCCATTCTAACTGTAAAATTCGAATCATTTTTCATTGCTGTGAACCAATAGACTGAACTCCATCCATCTAAATCACTTCCACAATGGTAGTCTAAAAGAATAAATGCTGTATAAGTTAGAAAAGAAGACAATGTTTAGCTTAAAGACATACAGTACTTCTGTCCAGGTATTAAATTACGTATAACTACTCTATGAACATATTCTCTCCGTTTTTCACTACCACCGTCATCAAAAATGCTTACTGATCCATTAACACGTTTATCAAATGTGTCAATTCCATATTCTACAACAGAATCGTTCACTTCAGTCAATGTTATCCATGTTACCACCATTATAGATGGATCGACTAAAAATATTAGAATTCATGACTCATTGTAGAGTAAAGTAACAACAATGACACTTACGTCCATATGAAATGTGAATTTGCTCGGGTAGACCAAGAGATGGATCTATTTGCCACGGAAATGTTTGTACAAATAAAGAAATGGTGCATAGCTGAACAACAATGCGAAACGAAAGCATCTAAAAGAAAAAATGCTAAAAGATTTCTGACAAAGATAGCATATTTATTGTAAGTAGAAAGATGATTCTGTTTTTCCATCATTGTCGAAAAACTAGTTTTAGACAGAAAACGGGACAATAATAAAACGAAAAAGCTTCTCTATCTTGCACAAGCCGAACGTTACCGTTTTTTTAACAAACCAGTCAGTGAAATAGTTTAGACACTTTGATGTTGAGCTTTAGAATTAAAGCAAATTGGCATGAGTCAAAGGTATATGCTGAAATTAAAAATCTGTGTTTTTCATTCAGGCTTTCTTCAGAATTTATATTAAAAACAATTTAAAGAAGAGAATATGGTAAAATGAGTGAATATACAACAAGACTGAACTTTCTACATCGATTTTACAGTTTATCTCTAGCATTCAGAAGTTAAGTTTTAGGAACCTTCATAACGCCTCTTAGTGAAGATATGAAATGGTTCATGTCGGTTAGAATACCATTCTTTTAATTATTTCATTTCATCGCGCTTGAAAAACTCGAACGCATCTATCGGCGCCTTTATTGAAAACCAACGCAGCAAGATTTGTTTAATTCTTTGAATGTTTTTGGTTGTCCAGAATCCGTAGAGGAGAATTTCGCGTTTTTGAGAAGAAAGACACTGCTGATAAAAAACGTAAATCATCAACTCGCCAAATCCGGCACTATCGGTGAATAATTCTACAAAGTTGACCTCTCTACTCTCAAACAGTTATTCATGGAAACGTATTTACTCATAGTCATAGTCTGTCCGTAGCTTAACAAGTCCCTTTAAATCATTTTGCGACTAATCGGATGAATTGTTCGCTCTATGTGGAATCTTATTTCTGACTTTTGTTCCTAACGTATACGTTACATCTCGACAAGAAAACGGATGCATTCATTCATCCATCTTTTACCGATTTGAAGAGCAATGAGTGAACAAATTGGAGACTGAGGTTAGTGAAGACAAGACGAGGCGAGTATTAAAACTTAAGATAGCAGTTTTTACCGGTTGCTGGCAAAAAAATTTGCAAAAGAAAGCAAGATTATATCCTCAGATACACTTCCAGCACTTACACAGAATTCACTAGCATGTAGCGTCATCTCTCAGTGTAGTCTGCTGCTTGTCTGCATCTTTTTGCATTACCCATTGCGGTACCTTTTGTGTTTAGGTGTAGTAGGATACGATTGTGTTTTATCGAGAGAAATGAAAAATTCGCGCTCAGACGCACATTTTTCGAGGAAAAACGCCGTTAAACGCAAAAAAGACGCAGGCAATTTCGAAAAGCGTGATCATACTTTTGTGGCCGTTTAAGTGCACTTTTATTTCTACTTGTTTAAACCCGAAATTAAACTGACAAAAAGAAGTTTATCTGTTCGCCATGCGTTTCCTATGGTCTTGTATCTTACTTAGATAACAAGACTTCCGCTTGAACATGGAGAAATTGCAGATAGAAAATACATGATGACAATCTTTTGACATTTAAGTTTTTGAATCTTTTTCTTTTTAGGAAATAATAAAGACTCTGAAATTAATATGTTAATTAGGAAGAATACTTATCGTTGCTGAGTTGAGAGGTTTATAAGAGCCAGCAGCGTGTATCCCCACCTCAATATTTGAGGCATTTTGTACCACTTCGAAGGATCGATCTCAAATAAAGTTCTTTGAGAGTCGTGGAAAAGCGTTTTTTCGTATTCAGCACATTTGATAATCCTGAAGATTTTCTATTTTTGGTGAGGGGTAGTAAGTAGTTTAGGAAAAATTTTCAAACAAAATAGCGAAAAAAAATTTCTTTCTAAACTTAAACTTTTGACAATACATCTCACTAAAAATAGAAAATCTTCTGGGTTATGGAGTGTGCTGGATACGAAAAACCATTTTTCCGCGACTGTGTATGAACTTTATGTTTCGATCGATGATATGTGATTTTTTGTACTACTGTTTCTACTTTACACAAATCATACCCTTTAACTTTTAGCTTGATTCTGCGTCTAAACCAGAAGGAAAAAAGGCGTTTGAACGACTATAATTAGTCTTCAAGGTGAGTCATCGGTATAGGCAAACTTTTTTCTTATTTATACTTCACATCTGTGGAAGCGAAATTTGTGGAAACGTCGAACATGTCGCGCTCCGCTTCGTACCAACAAATACTTTGAAATTTCTTCATTGGCATTTACTTCTTAGAGTCCAAGGGACTTAGAGAAGTCCAATCAGGCCCATTATGTTTAGGCAAAGTACGATAATCCAAGCTCAACTAACCAATTCTATAACAAAAGAAAACTGTTTGCATTTCAAATGTAGATGAAAAAGAAAGAATTTAAACGGAAACAAAATGTAAGTGCATTTAAACGTAGACAAATAAACTGAGCGTTCAAACGCATAAATAAAATAATTGTTCGTTCAACATACTTTTATATTTTTTTTATTGAAAGATAAAATAATCCCACTTAAATGCAAATATGTTTTGTAGCGTTTAAACAAAAACAGTCGGATAAATCAATTATTTGCGTTTAAACGGAGAAAAGGATTGTGGAAGTTTATGCAGAAAACTGTAAAATTCAACGTTGAAACAGCAGTAGAAAAGGTAAGAGTTTAAACACAAATATTTCTTTGAATCTGTTTAAAGTGTAATAAAAACTTGTGGGTGTTTGAACGCGCCCAAAAACGAGGTGCGATCGTATCCTACACTTAAACACAAAAGTACCGCAGTGTACAACCAGTATTGATAAAAAAAGTTTTTGTAGGGGTAATATTTCATCTGTTTTTTTAGGCATTTGTTTCATCTTTGATTTATTGAATAAATATAATCATCAAAGAATGACTATATGATTCATCGCGGTTACGTCACAGTCTGATCAGTATTGATAAGCGGATGTTAGTGCAGTAGACAATCTGACGTTAATATCTAAACAAAACAACTTTGGAAACATTAAACTACTATCAACACTTTGTTTGTGATCAAACTCTCTGAGTTTACTCAGTAAAAAGTTAGTAAATAGAACCATGCGTCGTGACTTTCATCATAATTTGTAGAATATACCATTTTCACAAAGTTTCACTCCTTATTACCTTAACTTTCATCTATTTACTTTCCCTTTTTCATGCTCAGTTCTGTATTCTTAACAGTATACAATAGACGTATGTTGAATAAAAAAGAATTGCCACATCATAAATCTAATATTACCTGATTTGTTTTCAACTGATTAATTTTTACTCTCTTCTATTGTCCCTATGTCAAACACGAATCAAGTTTCCGATTTTATGTACTTTTCTTTTTTCGTTGGATATTAAGCGACGACCGATTGATTTGCAATCGAATTAAATAGCGAGGCGTATGCTGGGGTGATGTTAAAAGAACGACTACGATTATTCAATCACATCATTAATATAATCGTATAACAAGATACAGGCTACTGGCAGCGCCAGTCAACGAGCAGTCGCTTGTACGTTCGAACGTACAAGCGAATTCGAATAATTTGTATCTAGCAGAACTGCCTCAGAAAATTGTGTTCCTATGGCGACCGCACGTATCTCATACCTTTTTTACCTGCCATACGTACCTACGAAAAATTCTGAGTCCGCCACTGATACAGACGGTGATCATATCAGTTTAAGGAAATATTGAATTCGTTAGTTACTTTTAGTGCCATTTTTTGAATCTTCTAAAGCATGAACTTTTGTCTCAGGAAGCATAAATCATCTTTCTCTGTATCTCGTGAAAGCAGCTCCTTCCCCACTAACCAAGAATGATAAGTATTCATTTAACTTAACAGAAATAGTTCCTGATGCTTTTAGTCTTAGCGGCAAATACGATGAATGTAATAAGTGTTTTGAGTACCAAAAGTTTGTGAGAAACCTACATATCTTGCACATTGAACCGCCAACTTCTTATTCAAGAAAAATCGAGATCATTGTTCGGTACATCTACTTTAACGCTAGAACGCCCGTAGCGGTCATTTTGACCGTTTTGTGACTTTTATCCTTTATAAAATAAACTGCATACAATTTATTTAAAAATAAATTATGTCATAACTTTTAATTTGTCCCATAAAAATTATTTTTTGCAGAATTTTTAATTCATTTTTGAATTCAGAACCATTTTTAAGTATAAAATTTTAAAAAAAACCAGTAACGGTCAAAATGACAGCTTTGGGCGTTCTAGGTCATGAAAATTTCCGGGCGTTCTAGTGTTAACTTCAAACAACATGATGGATATTTTTGATAACGAATATATCCGTATGCTTATATGGTATTATTTTTGAGATTCCACAGTCGAAATTAAAAAGTATTATTTAATTTTGCTTTACGACATTCCTTACTTCTCTTCAATTTATTCCACTATGTATACCAACGGCTAACCTGTTTTTGAGATTTTAGTACAACATGAACTTTTTCCCATAGATCGAAAGATGTGACAGTAATTTACAGAATTTTGTAGATGTTGCAAGAACGAGATAACAATAGCATATTGTTGGTTGAATCTTTTATGTGAAAGATAATGTACACTTTTGTCACAAAGGCAGAATGGGTGAACTTATGGTAGCCTTTCCATCGCTTTTTTCAATCTTAAGGTATTTGGTGCTCAAAAAAAAATGGTGCTCCGTAATTAGATCGCTTAAAACAAGTTTATCTCGATAAAATAGATGATTATTATTTTTAGAAGGGCATAGTGACAAATAAAACATCAATAGATACATATAGTCATACAGTCACAAATCACTTTGATCAAGATACGTGATTTTCAATACAAAACCAAGGAAGAAAAACTTGTACATGAAGAATCATGTGATTGAACTTGATGGGCTCCATGTGGCATGTTCTGGTTCTTCAATATCAATATCTTCATCGTCCATATCACTATGGTGTGGTGAGTTACTTGCTCGATCATGAGATGATGACGATTTATCAGTGTCTTTTTTCAATCGTCGATGTTTCGCTCGTCTATTTTGAAACCATGTTTTCACCTATAATAAATCAAACGATATTAATTCTTACAAATGCGCATGTTGTGTTTTTATTACTTGTCTTTCGCTTAATTGTAAACTTTTGGCAATTTGTTTTCGTTCTACTGGTGATAGATATTGACTGTTTTCAAATTTTTTTTCTAATTGTATAGTTTGTTCGGCTGAAAATCGTATTTGTCCACCTTTTCGTCTTGAATTACACCGATATGAATAAGGCCAAAATGAAAGATTACGTGAACTGTTCAATGAATCTATTTCAACAAACAAATAAGACATAATTGATATTAGAGTAACTAGCAATTGATGTTGGCAGCAGATTATACAAGCTATCACAGCTGACTGTGTTTTTGTTAACTAATTATAATGAACGTTTCATCATTTAACTTAGCATATTTAAAGAATCTACCGTTCTCGAAGGTAAATGTGTGACTGAGTTTCACAGATGTTTTTACAATACAACATATATTCATCGTTCTGAGCTCAAAAGACATGTAAGAAATTACAGTAAAATAAAATAAATTTATTATTTGTGTAGTGTGCAACATGGTGAGATGTTTACATATCATCATAACAGGAAGAAATTTTATTCTCCTTAGTTATTATTTACCAATCATCCAATACACTACTATAACTATTTGTCACTTTGCCTCAATATTTTTACATTCAAACACTTCACACTGTTCACTCTAAACGGATTATAAAATAAAACTATATTGATTATTCTCACTTAGTGAACCTTATTGATTTAAATTCTCCAATCGATTGGAACTGCTGATAAATCACTCAGTATATAAATATATATTTACACTCATCTTAGAAACGTACGTGTAAATGGTGGAAATTCAATGTTGAAAACATATTTTCAATGATTGGTTCAATCTAATAACTAATAGACACGTACTTAGTAGCTTGAAAATATGATACAAAAGTTGAATTCAGATGCAAATATTGCTTATTACTAAGAGTATTTTTTGGATTTCTTGATCAGTATTCATACACTGATCAAAATTTTCGAACTAATTCTTTAAAAAAGAAAGTTACACGGAGAACAAAATCAAGACAGGCTAGTAGGATACCGTCCCTCAACGTTTGACATTTAGCACGATCAAAGTTCTCTCACAAAAATGTTTTTTTTACTCTTATATACATGTTACCAATGAGAGATTTGTTGATACGATTTATAAAAATAATTTAAGTAATGTAAAGATAAAATGTATATTGCAAACACTTAATAAAATATCAGTTCTACTTAGTACACTGTATACAGTGTAGCAACGAATCATCATTTTTGATAATTGTGTACTTATTGAAAAATTTCTATTTTCATATAAATATACTCATACAAACTAAAAATTTGATTCAACTAGTCAACAGTATCATTACTAGCGTTAGAAAATGATCTGCTGACAAATATGTAGAGCAATAATAACATTTGAACGAATGGGGAAAATGATTTCTCTATAAATATCATATAATACACAGTTAATAGATATACTTGTACATTATCTGTGCAATACCGCTACTATATCTGTCTTTTTTTGATTATTATATCAAATAAACCACAATAGTTTAGGAATTATTAAAAATTTATGGAGAGTCAAGTTGCCTCGAATATAAGAGGTTTTTTCAGCTAGATATCTCTAACTAATAAACTTTGTGACCTCAATAAATATTACAAAGTGATAATTTGAAAGTGTAAGATAGCGAGTACTTTCTACTACTATTACAGGTAATATAATTGTTCTCTCATTCTTTCGACAAATTATAAACTTCAGCTAGAAAAAATTTGCAAAGTTTGCTCACAGAAAGGAGTGCTCTTCGAATAGTATTACGCGTTTTCCATTTGTGTCAACTTGGATTTTTGATAGCTTAGTTCTTTTGATGAGTAAGTAGTTAGAGCGAAACAGAAGTCTACCAATATCTCATCTTTTTGCGAAATATTCGAGGTTTAGAATACGGCATACAATAGCAGATAGTAGCCTCAGTTAGAACTCATACGTTAAGAAAAAGAATGTTCATGAATTCATATACCCTGATCGTTTTGGTTCACTCAATCAAAATGAACAGTCAGTCAGATGTGTTTTTATTTAATCGGAAACGTCGAAAATAAATTTTCGATAAGACACCCCTACCTTTCCACTCATGTTGTAAATTTTCATTGAGTACATTTGTTTTGGTTGTACCAACATATGGAAAATGATGTTTTTTTAAAATTTGTTGTTGCTGTTGACGTCTTGTGTCAGTGACGTACGATAATGATTCGCAAGATGTATCTTGTTGCTGTTGTTCGGCTACTTTTGATAGCATGTGGGCTGCAAGCGATGACCACATTGGTAAATCGATTGGCAAAGGAGGAGGATAATGATGATTATAAAGTGAGGAATCATAGTTACTACCACTATTACATGTTTTGAGTATATCATCGATACGAAATGAATTATGTTGTTTTAAATTAATAAATGGTTGAGATGAATACAAGGAACAATTCATCATTATTAAATTTCCATAAGTAAGTTTGTTTGTGTTTAACGTACCGTTCTTATCACTCACGAATGAATGAGATGACAATTGAGAGATAAATCACTACTTTTTAAGTAACAAGTCAAAAAAAAGAGAGAAGAAATAAAGGTATATAGTATACACCAATCAAGAACAGAGTGGATAAAAAAGGTCAATAGGAAAATATTCTACTTGTTCTTTATATTCTTGTTCGTTGAGTAAAGATCAGATACATGTAGAGAGAACAGACTTGTATCAAACATAAAAAATGAATTGATATGTTTATTTAAGATTTTGGAGAGCGAGAGAGACACACACATACCTTTAAAGGAAAAATATATTTATTTGCTGAACAGACATTGATACTTGACAAAATAATAATCATATATAATCAAGAGAGGTGAAATACGTGTGGATTGAACGTTGAGTGGTCGATAATGAATCAGAACAAGAAAAATCGAAATGAAATTTATACTACAAAAACTTTTGATTGGTCGCTATATAAGTATAAATATCTTCTTTATTCGTGAAAAACGATACGTTTAATGGTGACAAGAAAAATAAAGGCAAGTTTGTTACCAATGTAGGCTACTGAGACGCTACTAATTCAAAAATGTTACGTAAGATTAATGAGCGGTATTCTGCATTTTCTACTCAGCTGAGAAACTAAATCTAATACCCAGGGGAATGGTTCTAAGCATGTAAAACAGCATAAATGGCTAATTTTTTCCTTTCAAAAGTCTCAGACTTAGCCATTCTTTGTCTCTGATAAACTTTTGTGAATGATATTCGTAGAACGAAAACATCTGTTAAAAAAAATGATAAGGAACGATGAGGACGACTTTGTTACATATATTACTTGCAGTACAATTAGTTTTGGAAACCGTCTACGTTTGAGAGTGCTGACGCAGTGGTGGATCCCGAATTATTCTTTGGTACGTGCGGTATAGGACAACAGTGCGAGATACACACGGTCGTCACAGAAACCAAAAACGAAGGTTCTGCTGGCAAAAAACAGTTTTTTGGTTAAAAGGTACGAGCGGCCGCTCGTGGGCTGGATCCGCCACTGTGCCGACGATCTTCAATTAATTACTACAAATAGAACCACATTAAGCTAAAATGAAATATAGAGAGCAAATGTCTCATAGAAACACGATTATATCGATACAACATGTAACACAAGTGTTATACTAGAAATGAAAATAGCCCATGCTCAATTAATACTCATTGCAAAAAATACTGCTGCGATTCCTTCTAATTCTTCCATTAAAATAATGTAAAATAACTATGTGTACTTTGAATTCTGTAATTTGAGCGCCAGTCTAGTACGTCACCTTAACACTAGAACGTCCGTACTGCCATTTTGACCGTTTTGTGATTTTTATCCTGAATAAAACAAACTGCATATAATTTATTTAAATACAAATTATGTCATAACTTTTAATTTGTCCCGCAAAAGTTATTTTTTGCAGAATTTTTAATTCATTTTTGAATTCAGAACCATTTTTAAGTATAAAATTTTTAAAAAAACCAGTAATGGTCAAAATGACAGCTTTGGGCGTTCTAGGTCATGAAAATTTTCGGGCGTTCTAGTGTTAAATAGACGGCGGCTTTTAGATCTCTGTAAATGTTCTTATTTTTGTTAAAGCAATTGGTCTGTTGGTAAAGGTTAAAATAAATTTTAAAGATGTACAATATTCAATTTTTTTACTTGAGTACAGTAATACAGCACGATCTTACATAACGATCACGATACTACAGTGCAGAGATGAGCGAGTTCAGTCATTTCTGAGTCCAAGTACAGCTCAAGTCAAGTCCGAGTTTAGTCTGAGTCCATTATTTTTTCTTACGTTTATTTACGGTTTTCGATACTGAGATCTTTAATTTTTCCGACTTACTTGCGAAACTCTATCTTTGCTTGATTTCTGAGCGTGCTCTGGTTCCAGTGGTGGCTGGAACTTCATGATACACGGCAGAGCTCCTCTTGGTCTGCGCGATTCAGGACAGACTCGCCTCGGGTCAGGCCGGTCGGTCTTGGTGGAAAACATCGAATGGAAGACTATCGAACGAGAAAAGCGTCGAAAAAAATAATACAGATTCTGAAAGCTGGCTTCCTCTTCTATAAAATAAAGAATAACACAAAGGTCAGATATTACATGGACGGCGAGCAGAAAGGAACGAGTTCGCCAATGCCGGGATCATGTGATACGTTGAGATACAAAGTATTTATTATCTCAGGAACGAAAAGAGACGACAACACCATATTTTTAGAGTGAATAGAAGAGATGAAGCTCTCAAAACTGACATATCCACTCGCTTCAAATTCACGTTCTTTTAGCACAATAGCCACAAAAATGATATGTGTGTAGTATTTGGGCTCGTATTTTGCCGTTTCCTCTATCAAAACCTTTATACATTTTCCTTGTCGACATTTTTCCTTTCTATATTTTTCCTCTTTTTTTCCGATGTTCTTCCATTCGCCAGCCTCGGTCGGTCCGGGCTCGATTTTATTTTCGGGTCGAGCGAACGCCCCAAAAAAATTTTCAGATCGGATGGGCCAACGTGTTTTTCGGGTCAGCCCGACCTGAGGAATTTTAAAACTTTTCTCCATATTTTCAGTTAAATTTGGCTATTTTCCAGTAACGGTAGATGTTACTAAATTCTGTTGTCAAAAAAAATACTTCTATTTTCTTAATTAACGGATATTGCTGCTGAAAAAATCTTTACCAAAGCTTTTTCTGCGTTTTTGCTATAATAAAGTTGAATTTAGTCTAAAAGAATTTACAAAAAGAGGGCTCGAGCCGAGCCAATCGATTAGCATGACTAGTCGGGCGGGCTTCGATTTTTTTGGATCGACTTGGACCTTCCCGGGCCATCAAAAATTGGCCCGATTAGGATCTCTAATACAAGGCTATATTTTCTTTCTGTTCTAGTACTCAGTTAATAAAACGAAAACAATCTGAATATGACATTAAACGACATAAAAGTGTATTGAAAATAACTTTTTAAATGTCAAGGTCGGAGTCTTGTCAGAATTATCCTCCGGACTCGCCCATCTCTATTATAGCGTAGATATGTTGATACATATTCAGAGGAATAACAAGTTTAACAGAGTATATTACTTTATCCTCTGCCTATAGTTGTTTGAAACACAATTTTCAAAAACAATGTTATCTACCGTATGAGTAAATATATTACAATCGTTAGCTTATTTGATTCTAATTGATTTTTCTTCTTCATCTGTAGGTGACCATGAGAGATATCGGTAAATTAGAAAGAAAACAAACATTACCCATTTCAAAAAGAGAGTGAAATGTAAGATATCAACAGCTTAGTAGTAGCGTCTTCTATTGTTTTCATAGTCAAACACTTGAAAAATGGTAGATTTTAATTCAGAGAAAAAATATCAATCATCATAAAGTACTACAAACAAAATTAATATCACAATAGTACCGCCCAGATAGTAGAGATTTCTTCTTTTTAAAGAGAACAAACAGCTTTCTAAACTAATACTTCATCAATAATTTGAGAAGTAGAGACGCCGTGAGGCGGCAAAAGCAGATGAAGGAAGGGATTTTTGAAAACTGAGAGTACTTTGGGAAAATTTTTTCCTTATTTTTTCTTGTTAACCACTTTCTAAAATAGAAATTAATGCTCTAAACTGAAAGTAAAATAAGAGTTAATTTCGAAGTAAATATTTCCAATTTTAGAGTAGATACTAAAACGTAGGAAGGAGACTATCTTTCATTTCCACGGTTATGGCGCTCTGCTTAGCAGTATACAAATATCCGTTAAGAAATTTTAACAAATTTAAAGTATGTTAAATGGATTTTTCATCTGAAACAGATCAACATTTGCTTTAATAATGCTTGTCTTGATAAATTTATTCTCTTTCATTTTATCATCACTTTTTCTATATGATCACTAAATAAACATTTTGAAACTCTCAATTCGATTCGATTCCATTGTATAGAATATGTTATTATATTAGAAATGATGAACGTGCGTATTGGAATTGATTGTGTTAATGAGAATAATAGCAAGAGATTAAACGTAACACAAAACTGATCATGTCAGAAAGCTTTATAACTGTCTGTTGTCATTTACACCTATTTGATGGTGAGAAGATTATTGATACACAAACACACACATAGACATATTACTAGAGACAAATAACAAAAAGAAAAAGAAAAAAAAAAAGACGGAACATAATCAACGATGGTTTAATTTTATTGTTTGATGATATTATAGAGGCGGGTGTATAAATGACAGGGACACAATCACGAGCTTTAATCAAAACTTAAATGACTGATAAAGATAAATGAACATAAATAATCCTTCGCATACAAGTGACCTTCTCAGACGTAGAGAAAGTACTCTTCTATTGTAAAAATAATAATACGATTGTAAATCTAATGAAGCACCTTTTATTGAATTTTTTAAAAGAAAATATATGTTTAAAACTAAGATATATGTAGGTCAGTTTATTATTTCTTTTTTGGTGTTTTTTCTCGTTTATCTCCTCTTGATTTTGGTAGTTGTTGTGGAAAATCATTTTTCATTTGTTCATTTAATGTATTTTCCGTTATTTTTAATTGTTCGTCAACTTTATTACGAATTTTTTTTATTTCTTCACTAACATAGGTACGAATTAATTTTCTCACTTCTTGTAATTCAGCACTTTCCTCTTCGACTGATTCTGCAAAAGAAATACAACAATCTATAAAACTATTCAACAAATATTATGAGAAAAAAAAAAGAGTTAAAAACATACCCGGTAATTGTTGATCTTGATTTTGGCTAATTTCATTTACATAGTTATCACTATTTATAACTTCATCATGCAATGGTTCTAATTCAGGTTCATCTTTAGTTAAACCCGTATAATTGAATTTTAAATTCAAACGAATCTAAATGAGTTCATCATATATGACAAATAAAATCCAATGACAATAAGCTCAATATTCAACAACTTACGGAAGGTGTAAATGCATATTTGTACATTTTAAAATGACGAAAATATGTATCAACTATATAATCTGTTACTTTTTTCGTTAAATCAGGTGTAAATATTCTTAAACTATAGGGTGGCCGCTACAAAGTAAGAATTAGTCAGAGTTAATAAATTTAAAAAAAATTTAGTTTAACACATTTACCGATAATGAATGGCAAAGTATTAATGCTTTAAAATATTGATATGTTTCGTCCATATTAGCAAATGGTGTACCTGTGCAACAAATCACTTGATGTAGAAAACTGTATCAAATAAAAATTCAATACTTACTAATACACATATCATGGACACGTTTTAATATTGATAAAAATGCTGATATTTGTTCTTTCGAGAAATTGTTTTTACGTGCAAAATGTAATGCATAATAAAATAAGTCGGTTAATATTCTCGAACGGCTTGTATCATCTTCCAATTCAAATGTTTTGACAAAAACACTAAAATAACAAGATATTGTTTTTGTTTGTTTTTTTTAATATCAAAAAGTAGTACAGCAACAAAGCTTTCTTTTTTCATTGTTACTGACTGAATAATCAGACTAAATCAAAGTTTTCTAGTTTAATATCTATGTACCATCTCTCAAAAATGTTTCGCTATCTTACTTACTTATGAATGCTAACAGGATCTTGTAGTTCTTCGAGTTGATCAACATGATCGTACGAAAAATCAGACCTAGAATCAATTTTTTATATAACAACTATACATAAAATTTCTCAGGTATAATGATATGTACCAAACAACGATGCCTGCCTTTGGTGTCCGTTTCTAAAATATGACAAATTTTTCCATTTGAATTAACCATTAAATTAGATTTCTGTAGTATTACATGCTTGAAAAATGAAAACACATGTCATCTTACATTCAGTATATTCGATAACTCAGTATTTTGCATTATTTTGGTTTTGATATCACAGAAAAATTCGTCAAAGAAGAAAAGATTTCTAAAATGTCAAATTAATTCAAAAGTTTGTCTACCATCATCAGAATACAAGACAACGTTTCTAAACAACTTCTCTATTCTTCTTTACAACACTTATGCAATAGAATGTATATATGTAAAGATCAAAGCGACATCTAACACGCCTGTAGCTCTTCATTCATATTAGCATGACGAGAGAACGAGTGAATGTTCAAGTCAAAATGTTAGAACGACGAAATTTTAAGCTTGATCATCTTCTCATATTTTATATTTCTTCTCTAGATGACTAAACATAAAAAATGTCATCCGACTATATTGTAAAAAAAATAAGTTGTTTATTTGTTCTGTTACAGAGAACAGACTTCAAGCTCTCTGAAGAGCTCAAAACGAAATCCTGATTTTTTGAAAATTTATATTGTGTTTTTGATTATTCACAGAACTCATGTAACTCATAGAAAATAAAAGCCAGTTCTCTATATGAACGAATGAAAAACTTACTTTCCTTCCTTGTCTGAGTTCCCTAAAAGCTTGAAGATTATTTTTTTTACCGAAAAAAAATGTAATCTATTGCATCATGACATTTGAAAATGATATTACTCTTTATGCTTTTATCTTCTGTCTATTTTCTTCTAGGATCTCACAGGATAGATGGTAAGAAAAACTGAAGTGTTTGCAACATGATCACTATCCATTAAAGTTTCTGTATGATTAGCACACATTTCCGACAGTACTGTTCAGGTCAATGGATCCTATGTAGGATCATCCCTCAGATGACAAGATTCCATAGGATCCCTATTTTTCTCTGTTCCGTCAGTTTTTTATGCATGAATCTGTTCACCGTTTTGTTTCTCAGAGAAATAATTATAAACTATCATCGGATTCATTGACTTGGATGCTTGAAAAGTCGATGATCTTTTGATTTTTTATGTCAAATGGGTACATAAGACCACTTCTTTTGTTACAACACTTTTTATTACTTTGGGCACTTTTCAGCAGCTGAAATCAATGCTTAATGCTGCTCTTACCTTTTTGTTAGCATTATATTGTCATGTTACGAGAAAAATCAAAAATTTTGATCCTTTCTCATTGCCGAACACGGATTTCTTGATATTACATTCATATTGTAAGTGAAAAAACTGTTGGCAGTTGTAGTCACTTAACTGCCACAGTGTGGCTTTCATGTAAAGAATGTCGGAAATGGTGTAATCAACTGTTTATTAAACATTCATTAATGACCCATCCAACGTTTATTAAATGTTGATTTTTAGACCATTACAGCAATTTTTATGGCTTATCTTCTACCCTAATCATCCCTTTCATGCTACTCTCACTAGTATAATCTCACTAAACTAAATTCAGATTTAAATTTGTTTGGTTCCTTATGGCCCCGTCATTAGTACTCATCCCAGAACTAGAGACTATTTTCCTTGAGACAAGTTTTGATGATTTTGAATGCTCAAAGAAGAGAAAAATTCTAACTTTTCTCAAAAGAAATAAAGTAATAATGGAACAAAAGAGTGAATGGTTTGTTGGCAAATAGTTAAAAGCTGCCATTTAATTGTCAATGTTTAATGCTTTTTCCTGTTAATATTTTAACTGTTCCAAAATGGCATGTTAACAGACAGTTCATGATGATGTGAATTTTAGTTTGAAGTGCATACAGTTAACTGTTTGTTTAGGCACGATTCATGGTGAAATAACGGACAGAAAACGGTAACTATTAACGGACTGTTTTTAACAGTTTTTAGCCGATTAACCCACAGTGGGCATTTAGGCGGCGTTTTCTGAAAAAATCGTAGGTGCGAATTTTTTTGTATTGAATAGTGGTGTATATAGTATAAACAATTCCCTATTTAATGATAAAAAAATGTTTGTTCTAGCTCCTTCCAAAGCTGAGAAAACTGAATTACAAAATTACCATTAGAATTAGCCCGTTGGTACTT